AACATACTATTTGAAGTAAAATATTAGGATACTAAACAAAATTTTCAACATTTCCAAGCATCATTTTGTTTGGCATATAACATTATTGAAGAATGTCAAGTCATTCTTGACTTAGAGTTTGTTAGTAGTTACAAGTTTTGTTTAGCTTATTTCTAATATTTAAGAAATGCCAAATTTGAAATTCTTCTTTTTAGTTCTTGAATTTATTAATAGTTCCAAGCTTTTTTGTTTGTTTATATATTTCTAACAATTAAGAAGTGCAAAATTTTGAATCCTTTGCAATTCCAGCTATAATGATAAAAGTAAGTATCTCTATTTTCAATAAGTATATTACAATATTTCTATATGAATGTATATCCTTCTATAAGAATACATTTATATAGTTGCAAAATCAATAGCAATCATTTACAACATTCATTTATAAAGGCAATTATGTGAAAATAATATGTTGTCTGCTATATGCCATAAATTAAGGAAAACAGTAGGTTTTTGATGGTTTTTACCGGTAAAAACACGGTTTTTACCACTGTCATGTCAAAAACCAGTTTTTGACGGCAAAAATCCAACCCTGATATATATATATATATATATATATATTAGGGGGAACAGAAATTAATGTCGTTTTGGTGCATTTGATATTTGTTATCAAGATTTTATTTTTAATCATTAATGTATTCACCCTTGTTAGCAACAACCTTTCAGTGCCAAATCAAAATAGATCGGGAAAAAATGAATTGGTTTAGACTAACAAATATTTAATGTGCCAAAACGACATTACTTTCTGGTTCCCCTAATATAAATATCTATATAAAAGGTAAGATAATAGATAAAAAGGGGGAAATATATGTTTTTTCATTTTTGAATGAATATTAATAAAGTATTTAATTTTCTGCAGATATGTTAGTAATTTTATTGATAAAAAAAATTAGTGCTTGGAGTACTAATGTTTGTATAAAAGTTATCAAAATTTGACACTAACATGACTAAATATGTCTGCGACCCTTCATTAGTCAACCTGCTGTGCAAGTGACTCTTCACTCATTACTTCACTTTTTCATGTTTTTTATTATCCTCTCTGTCTAATTATTTCACCTCTTTAATATTCTTATTTCTGCTTCAGTTTTTATTTTTAATGTATGATGTTTGTAGTTAATATAATATATGAGATCATTGTATTATTTATCTTCTATGTAAAATGCTTTTAGCTCATTACATCTGTGCCTACAGAAAAGTTAAAATTAACAAATTGTGATGATGAGTTATATGAGGCCTTTTTAAAAGAGTTCCCCGACTTTAAGTTAGACGTGATTAGTGCTGAAAGTTTAGATAGTAAAGAAAATAAACAGGTAAGTTTTTTATTGAATTTATTTATTCTTTTTGTTTATTTTTTTTTTTTAAAAATTCAAACATTGAGGTTATGAGCAAAATAACATTGGATTTGCTGAAAAATGTTCATAGAAATGTTAGTGTGAAATACTTTAAGTTAATTTTTTAGTCTTTGTAAAATTATAGAATGGATTGTATTTGATGACAAATAAATCGCTTAATTCCGACAGAGAAGTTGATATTTAAACATAGGCAAGTACAATACGCGCGGTAGTTTTTTTTTCCCGTCAAGAACCATTTAATTAAAATGTTTGGTTTTCTACATTTCTATTTATCATACAGGTTATATTTCTTCATCTTATTATTTTTTTTTTTTGTGTTATAAATTTCCCCCCTGTAATAAGTATATGATGATTTTCATACTTGTATAGTCTACTCCTCGTGTAAAGAATGAAAATGTTTTATAATAACTCAGAAAATACTTTTAATATACATGTTTCAGGTCATTTTCTTTTGAAATTGAAATTAGATTTTCTTCATGTGTTTTAATTATAATTCTTTAATAAATTTCCTTAGTAAATGATGTAAATTATAGTTACTTCGATTTTGAAAAACTAAGGTAACACTTTAATTTGCTTTACAGAAATGGCGAGAGTTTATAGAAAGATTCAGTGATAAAGTTGAAGATGCCAAATTTGGTACATTAGTTCGTTTAGATTCTACTGGTGAATATACGGAAGAAAATACAAAGCTAGGTATGTTAATATTTTACAAATTTTTTAAAATTTTTATTAAAAGTTATATTTTTTTTACCCATATTTTTAAGGGGCAAATGTAAAACGCACATTGCCAAAATTTAGGTAATAATTATTTAAACAAATTTTTATCTTTAAATTATTGATCCATAAATAGTTTTATACTGTAAGGAAAGCGAATATTAGAACAAAAAGCAAAATGTAAATGGAAGTTAACATGTAGTACCTCTCACAGCTAATAAGAGATTGAACCATGTCAAACAGCTATACAATTGTAATGAGGGATAGGATTTTCAAAGCAAAAATTTTTTCTTCTTTTTTTAATTGAAAATTCTTTTAAGCCAATTATTGTAGATTGAGATAAAATTAGTAAAGCAACTGAAATATTTTAAGAATTATACAAAGTAATAAAAATTTTAGAAATAGACAATCCTATGACTTCTCTCCTGATCAAAATATTTTGGATCACACATTCACTGAAATATTTATCAGATCACTGGTAAATCCTATAAATGTTTTCAGAATTCTACATCTCAATCAATAAAGGGAAAAAATGTATATGCATGATTTTTTTGAATTTGCTGTCTTCGCAGTTGTCCTATATTTCTTATTTTTCCTATATTTTTGAAAAAGTGCCATAAAGTTTTCTATATTTAAAAAAGCAGTGCTTTGCCCTATATTTTAATTTAAAAAAGTTTCTATTTTGGCATTTTAGGTAAGATTTCCTTGAAATGCTGCCCAGCAAATAGAAAGAAAAAAAAAAAAAAAAAAAACTTCCCAAAATGGGAAGCAAAAATGGAGAAAAAAAAAATATTTAAAAAATACAACGTCACTAAAAAACCTGTTCTTGTGGATAAGGAATAGATTCAACCATTTTCCAAAGGAGGAAAAGGTTATGTTTTTTTTTTTCCATGACTGTCTACTAATCAGAATGATCTTTAATTTTTCACCCACCCTGAAAATAGGCCTCTATTTTACTTGCTGGTGTTTATGGTTATGCAAGCAGAGAATGTGAATGTTATTTCTTATTTCTTCAAAATAGGTTTAACAGTAAAACTCTTCACATCGGCACTTCTTATACTTCTCCTGCATCCACTGATCCTGGTGGAGATATCCAAAAACACTCTGAACCAGTCAAATCAACATTGGAAACTGGTCAATCATCTCCAACCAAGAAACAAAGTCCAACTGCTTTGCCGAGAAGTACTCCATCTACAACCTTTTAACAAATTGCATTTCAACCAAGAAGATAACAAAGGATCAGGCGGCCTCCTTAGAGACTAGACCTTTAAATTCCCATAAGGAGGAGATGTGGTGTATTAGCTATTTGAGGCTATGTGTTATAGATGAGCTCACGGTACATAGGATTATTTAGCGATCGAAATATACGCTGGATAAAGGCAAAATATTGCAATCTTGTTACTCAGCCTTTGATGTCTAAGAAAGGAAATTAGTAAATTAAAGGCTTTTCCATCACCAACCTGTAGAAGAAAAAGAAAAGTGAAAAAACTAAACCAATTGAAACTCCAAGATGGTTAAAATGAAAGAAACTCAAAATATTAAGCTAAATAAGGCATTGACGATTAGTACTAGCCTTACGAAGCAAGAACTCCGAACAAAAAAAAATAGATCCCTGAAATTTTTTATATTTTATAACTAAATATTTTTTTTTAAAGTTGTAAAAAAGTTAATGAAAATTTTATCATGAATCTGAGCCTACTTCAGCTTGAAACCTTTTTCCAGTAAACAATCCCATTAATGGCATCATTCAAACTCACCAAAGCGCCAGCAGTTGCATTACGACGCAACTTCTGTCTTCTAAATTAAATGCTGTAAACATTGTGCTTGTTATATAGAAGAATTTTTTTATCTAAATGTTGTGTTAAGGAGCAGGACAAATGTTTAAATTTTTAAAATCACTCAGAAAGATAAATATATGCAAATTGTCCACTTACAACTAATATTGCAGAAAGATTCTGTGTTGATAACATACATTGCGATCTTTCTGTCCCCTGAAGGCCATCGGGCAACTACCAAAAGAGGAATGAACAAAACCTCTAAAGTAAACAAAACCCTGCTAAGTATTTGATGAGTAATGTCAGTCGATCATTGCTTTTAGATTTGCTGATCTACGGAAAGTTACATACTACCCTGACCTACTAAACATTTTTACCTCACAACACTCCCGTAGGAAGGACGCAAGCTAACACACACAAAATACAAAATTTAGGTATAACCTAACAAAAGAGACCAGGGAAGCTCCAAATTCAAGAATGAGTAAGCCGCAAAATTCCTTGAATGTGAACCAATAAATCCCTAATAAAAAATTATATCTTTTATTTTTTGCTTGCCAATGCTTCTGTTCATTTGGATGGCTTAACCAGTTTCACAGAATTAAAAAATTATTCATGTGGTCTACAACCAAACACCAGACTAGACTCCCAACCACAGATCCACCAATATTGCTAAATAAGTTAGGAACACTCCCTTGGAGCAATATGAGAGAATGATGATGAACTCTGATGCTGAAATTTTGCCAATTTTGGGAAATCAATTTTTACTCTTGTCTTTCTAGATGATCCTGCTGCAATGCTCTCTTCGCTACCTCTAGCAGCGATCTCATCATCCATCATTGAGCCTCTTTCCTTGAGCTCTAATCCATCGCTCTGTCCGACTACCCAAATATTTACAGGCTTTTGTAAGCACCAAGAATATCGATACTTGTGAAGGAAAAACTATAGACTTAAAAAAAAAGTCAGGAGAAAAATGAAATTTTTCCTCAAAACTGGGAATTGTAAAGAAGTTTGACACTCTATCAAATAGTACGATTTCTTCTGTTTTCAAAACCGTAATTTGCACTTGTGTAATGAAGGATCGGATGAATAAAGGAACTCCTCTGTCTGCATAGTACATTTCCGATCATGCCGTATCTGTGGCAGAACCTGGCAATTGAGAAAGAAGACTATCCAACCGCCCCTGTAAAGCTATTTCTGCTTTTGAGACTGTCCGAATACTGGATACACTGTGATGATCCCATAACCACCGATCACCCTTCAACATCTGTGCAACATGCATTCTTATTAGACTAATATCTGCTCCCGTGTTGATCCTTGCTCTGAAGGAACACGAACAACCTCCTAAAAATGAAACAACCTCCTAAAGCAGACATTTAGTCCCTAACATCAGTACCCTGCCCGCAATGTTGAATGTCAGTTTCTCGACCGGATACTCATCCTGCAATTTCATGCAAAATAGTTCAGTTTTCACACTTGAAGCATGTCACGCCAACTCTCCCGTCCCCTGAAAAACTAGCCCGCTCAGGTACAGTCTCTCAGGGTGCTATTTTAACTACTACCTTATCTGTACGATCATTATTTCAAATTCTTTTGCAATTTCCAAAGCGCTTATACTGTTGAATCATTTTTGCCAGTGAACAGTATTTGGGCATTTGAAAACATATATGCTACATAGCCCCGCATAACCTCATCTATCCTGTCCCCAATTTTCAACCTTTCAGTCAATGGTGGCCACTGCAGGTAAGCATCCCAGAACACTCAAACTAAATGTTCAAAATCATTCCCAGGTGTAAATCTTATTGCCATAAAATCCTGAATTGTTAAGAATTGATCATTTTCTTTCCCATACTATTTCACAATATAATATTTAAATACTTCCCACGTTAATTCTGAAACTTGATATTGCCAATATTGGAACCACATTTTCGCATTCCCTGTTAAGTTTGAAATAGTTTATTTTAATTTTTCAACATAACTAAAAAAATGAGACCCTTGCTCTACTGCTCCCGTAAATTCTCTAACATTTTCCTTGCTTTACTCTCCAAAAAATTAGTTACAAGCTCTTGAATGGTAGCTTGTACCCTACTTGCCCGGCAACACAGCAGACTCAACGCCATATACGAGAGATCCTACACTTATATAAAAATTATAGCTGCTAATATACTTAGGCCAAACACTTTGATTTCTAAGTTTCTAATACCTATCAACATACAATAGTAACAAAATGCACCCTTAAAAAAAACTAATCTCTTAATGCAATGCTCCCAAAACTTATTCCTAACTTCTCAATTACTTCCACTGAATCAACCTAAATTAAAATTCTATTGTTCAAATTTTATGTTTCAAAACAAAAAAATTAACCTATCACAAAAATTTTAACATAAGGTGGGGTCAATTAAAAAAGAATAAAGTAAATTAACATGTGAGGTGCAAGTACTATGTAGCACTACCCTTTCGATGTTTAAACTCCAAGCTACATTAGCGAAATTTCCCAGTACACATCACTAAATTAAAATTCGGTCACCTTTGGTGACATACCCTTCAATTAGCAGGACTCAGAGCTTCAGGCTTAGTAACTTGACCAAACAATGCAAAAACTCCAGACATCCAAGGTCTCCTCTAATGACTGGCTCATCAATCTAAGTACCACTGCTTTCACCAGAACACGACTCGCCAATGTCAAGCCTCTTGTTTGCCAATGTAATTGTACCTTGAGGTTGGCTCACACATATAACTGCTCAATAGTAGAAAAATAAGAAATAACGGAGATAGTAGAGGTGAATAGTAGGAAAACTTTTTATACATTTCAAGCATTCACCTAAATGAGATAGATTGTTACTTGACATTAACTCAAACGTTTGTTGACAACAATGCTGCCAACAGCTACAGATATACAAGGAATCGAGTTCTTTGCATATTGTGGTTTCTCACATCTGATGGGTTTCTCCAACAGCATTTTTAATTATTAGGGCATATTACTCACTATGACCTGAGACTAGCCAGCTAGCACGAGTACTGGTCACCCATCCTTATTTATCTTTTAATCTAATTTACATAACATTAATGCAACAACTAAATGTTTAATATTAACTATTAATGACCCTAAACAAGATAAGTGTGTATGCTAATTGCTTACTGAGATGTAAACAAGATCTCTAAAGTGAACAAATTGCTGAGTATTTGATGAATAACATCAGTTGATCCTTGCTTTTGGATTCATTGATCAGCCGAACATTACATATTTTAGGCATTTAAATAAAACTGATAATATTGCTAACTAACTGATAAAATTTTTATTGTTAATTTGTTTTCAGGATGAGTAAGAATTCTGTGATCCATGAGTTTTTAACAGTTATAACATGAATGCAAGACTATTTCTAAAATTAAATACTATTTCTAAAACATTTTCTCCTCCTGAAAACAAATTAGTTTTCATCTTATTGTTAATTCTCATTGGGATTTACATTCCTGTAAATAATTGGCAAGAAAATGTTCTCCTTGTGCATGTTAATTGGAAAATTGTGGGCATTGTTTGAAAAACGCTTTTTGCAAACAAAACATTTGTAAGGGAAGCTTCAGAATATTCTGAGCAATAAAAAAAGTTAGTCATCAGCTAAAACAAACACAATGTGCATATGCAGGGAGCTTTTCTGCCAACTATTGTCAATTTTAAACATGCTGGTTCTAAGTAAACATATATTTAACTTTTGCAGTGCTTCGTGTTCAGTTTTTAGCCATAGAGATTGCAAGGAATAGAAAAGGATTGAATGAAATTGCCAGAAAAAAGTATGGAAAAACAAGCTGAAACTTTTATGAATTGTAAATAAAATTATTTTTAAAGTAGAATTTTGTCTCCTTTTTAATTCTAATTAATGAGTAACTAAAAAGTATGTGAATTTTTTTTTTCTGGTATGAAAATTTATTAGGCATAACAAATTCACATTTAATAAAATATGGCAACAAGTTAAGATGTAGATTAGAATTATTTGATGTAAAATACTCTGTTAGTGACACTTGCACCTTCCCTTTATTATTACTGACTTGATAAATTTAGTATATTTTTTACAAGCTTTATTCTGCATTGTATTAAAGCATCAACATCATGTGACTGAATTTTATCTATCTCCTGAAAAATCATGTATCTAAAGTAAACATTTTATCTCTTGCATGACAAATTTAAATAAAAAACCAAATGGGCCTTTTTTACAGACGTGACAAAAAACTGCCCCTCAAGATTTTTATTTTTCGAGCCTCAACTTTTTTTTTTTGAAAACCTGTTGAATTTTTATTACAATAGCAATGAACATTAAATATATTAACTGTTAAGTTTTTATAATAAAAATAAAAAATCCTATATGAAAGTACAAATTTTAAATAGCAGCCATTTAAGGTATCAGAAAAAGTGAGAAAGAAAAAAAAATATTTGTTATAATAATCATAAAATATTATAACTTAACTACCACTGCGATTATTAAACATCAAATAAGACATGCTAACTTGACACCTTTTGCTAGACAAAGGTTGACATTATCTAATGGTCTCTCCCCACAAAGATAATCTTCCAAATATGGACTGAATTATTCTGCAGTTGTTTTTAGAGAAAATTTAATTCAAATGAATGTATTCCTTTTATAATATTTTATTTAGGTATAACTGTTTAAAAGTTAAAGGTCCTATCAAGTAGGTTAAGGATATGCGATGTAAGCCTCGTTGCCTATAATACTATAAACTAATTAAATTATATAGCTGGAATAAATTATTTTAAGCAAACTCGATCAAAGTACGCCCTAAAATATATGTAGAATAAACTTTGGAATTTATAAATGAAAAATACTTTTTCAAACAACTTCGAGGGATGGAAACGCTAACTTGCTTGAAATAGCTGTCCTTGTAACTGTTTAATTTTGATTCCTGGTGCTAGAAGATATTCCATTTTCACATTTGGCTTTCGAAATTTAAATTTTAAACGGAATTTTTTTATGTCCTTAAAAATGTTATTAAGACTAGCAGAAAAAAAAATTGTACTGCAATGATTTCTTTAGAAGTATTGACAAATAATTATTTTTTTCAATCTTGAGAACCTATGCCTTTATCTTACGTAAGACTTAATTTAATATCACGTGAAGTAATTTAATATACTGTGTTACTAAATGAATAATCCCAAGTAACTGAATCGAAAAAATAAAAATTTCATCGATTTAAAAAACAATAGATGATAATAAAAGTAGACATGTTTTAAGCGTCCAATAGTTAACGTCGCAAGCCATTCACGCCTGACGAGTCTTGAGAATGGGCGCTTATATTCGAACGCTGCAAACATGTCGACGTTTATTTCCCTCTTCATATTTTTTGAAGCTAGTGAAAGTTTTATCATGAATTATACGTTTTATCTTTGGGTCTTGATCATTATTTTGATAAGGATTTTATGCTGTTAAAAGTAAACATATGCATTTTAACAGGATTCTTGTGGTCTTTAGAAAAGTAAGAGAACAGTAGCATCAATATTTGAACTATGAAGTTATTTTTAACTTAAAAATTTTGAGACCAGATATTTTGAGTTAATGAAATAGAATATTTTATCTTATAAGTTTTTGTGCCACCATTTCAGTATTTTAAGGATTCTGTTTAAAAGGAGAGTATCGAATCAGATATATATATAAGAAATCATAGTAGCGGTATTTACCTTTCTATTAACTATTAATACATAGACCTTTCCGAGCTAGATATCACAAAATTCTGAATAAAAAATCTTCAGTTTTCAGTTCATTCTTTTTTCTATTGTCTCAACTTGGTTGCTTAGCAGAATAGAAAAATTGAATATTGCTCTCTTGAATTAGTTTATGGTCATCTTAATTTACTCCATTTGCGGAAGCGACATTGCTTGCCCCTTATTTGGGACTATCTACAAAAGTAAATAGCTCCTACTTTATGAACCAATTTTTTTAGTTTACAACTAAGTTTTGTCTACCCCTAATTTGAGAATCGAGAATTCAAATACGCAAAAAAATTAAAAAAAAGTACATGTTTATTCAGAGAAGGCTTGTTTTTCAGTTTGATTTCGTAACTTAATACTTAGCACTAATTAATTAACATATAAGATGTCACCCCCAGAAACCATTAATATGGAAATTTTGTTCGTGATAATCTGATCATTAGAACGTAAGTTATTCAGAGTGATATCTTTTTTGTTTTGTGCACTGCACATCTAAGTAGAGGAGGAGAGGGAAGCGAGGAGGCTCTAGACATGGAACCGCTCTTTTTCCCAGAAGGCGTATTCAAGTGTTGTGATCTCTAATATGTTAGAGTTGGTATTCGCGATCGCAACACTCGAATACGCCATCTGGGGAGAGACCGGTTTCATGCCTTTAGCCCTTCTCCCTTCCCTCGCCTCCTCTTTTCAGTTGTATAGGAATGTACTACGATAATTTCCCTTTTCGTAATATTTTTCCTTTTTATTTAATGAAAATATTTTTTTAAATTTCTATGATACTTTTCTTTAGAACTATGTTTAATGCAGTTTTCAGTTCCATATAGTTTTTTAAGTTAAAGGATTTTAATCTATGTGAAAATCAAGAGAGAAACTAACGTGCTTCCTTCCTCTATGACTTTCCACACGCTAATGGGGAAAGCATGTGAAGTGTTGCCATAGGAAAAGAGTTCTGCTCTGCAGCCCATTTCGATCGCCAATAAATGTAGCTTATCGTAATCGAAGAACATGTGTGACATTTTATGGTGAATTTGCGCCAAACATCAGGATGCTATTTGCATTTGAAAATGATTTTTATCCGAAGAAAACCATGTAACCTAAATATCTGGCAGAATACAATGATTTTTTAAACACTGAATCATACAATAGGCAACATTATTTCAATACGTTATTCTTAAACATAACATATTTAAATTTTTTTTAAATGAAATTAAAAACAACATAAAAAAAAAACAAATAATATCTGTTAAAAAGTTCATGTATTCAAATTCGAAAAGCTTTGAAAATCATAGATCATTTATAAATTGATTCAAATTTTCTTTTCAACGGAGAAAAGAAGAAAAAAAATCCTTGCTTTTTGGACAGAAATCAGTTGAAAAATTGTCGATTGCCTAGAGCACATCTCTGCACAATAGCCCATTGTGCAGCTCTAGTGCGACGTAAATGAACTACAACAACTGAGCGATCACAGAACATTATTTCTTTTTTTTTTTTAATAGTCTGAACTTGGTTGCTTAGCAATGGAGTGAAACTAAGTATTTCTCTCTTGAATTAGTGCATGGGTTTTCTTAAAATATTCACTTGCGGCGGCGATTTTGCTTGTCTGTTTCTTGGGACTATCGCAAAATACATGTAACTTATTAGCCCCCCCTCCTAATTTATGATCCAATCTTTTCGAAATTTTGTCAACAACCCTATTTTTGGGTCGATAATCCAAAAATGTAATATATATATAGATATGTTTATTCAGAGAAAGTGCGTTTCTGTGTCTGATTTCGTAACTTAACTAATAGTTAGCGCAAATTAATTAGCGTATTTGAAGTTATCTCTAGAAACCATTAGGGTTGACACTTTGTACGTGAAAATCCGATCATTAGAACGAAAGTTATTCCGGGTGATATATTTTTTTGTTTTTGCCCTCTGTACAACTAAAAGATTGAGCTTTATCAGTTTTTTTTAAATGGTTCTAAAAATTATATAATACTATTTTCATAAATAGCAAAAATATTTTGCGAAAAGATAGACTAAATTACAACAAAAAGCAAATAGATCCTAAAAAAAGTTACCAAAGTAAAGTCCAAAATTACGCATGAACCTATCGATGAAAAGACCTAATCAAGGAAATGGCCTGTCCATGAAATTGTATGTCGATAAAATGGTCAGAAGTAGAAACTATGAAGAAGTTGTTTAAAATATTATCAGAGAAAATTCTAAATAATATGCACAAGTTTTCTATATTGATTTTTTGGATTTCAGCTATGATTTTTTCCCTATATCTATACAGACAGACTTAGCCTAATTGGGGCCCTGGGGCAAAAACTTCTTTTGGGGCCTCCCCTTGCTTCACTACTTCAGTAATGAAGAACCGAACTTTATGGATGTATTTAACTTTTTCACCTCATTCTAGATACATAACAAGAAAATTGACTTGAAGGTAAAATAGTTATAAAGAGGGGGGCAGTTTCCAATTATTAATTTTATCATCTAGCTGCGAAAAATTCATATCGTTGCTGACATTAGGGCGGAATTCTGCTAAATTTTCGCAATTACGATAGCTCAATTAAGCCAATCAGAAAGCCGTATTCTTGTAAACATAATGCATTTTGCGATAGGTAAAAATACAGGCTTTTGATTGGTCAAATATGTCCATCGTAATTGTGAAAATTTAGCGGGATTAATGAAATATATTAAGTGTTCAAACGAAGAATGTGTGCGACGATATTAATGAAGAAGTTAACATAAAACTGACAGATTTTACACTGTACTGATATTCTGTTTAAAAAAGTTCAATAAAGAAGGAAACGCAAAATAAACTTTTTTTATTCGATATGGGGGCCAGGGGCAGCTGCCCCGGTATGCCCCCGCCTTAGTTAGGCTCTGTATACAGAATGATTGCAAAAACATAAGATATACATTTTATTTCAGTGAGAAATGTTTCCAATGAATTAGAAGTTATTAAAATTGTTTTCAAAAGTAATATCAACCAATAAAAATAATATAAGCAATATAATAAAAATTAGCAATATAATAAACCAAGGATTATTGTTGGTTATACACAGAAAACTTGTTCCCATGTGGGTCAACACCAAGCAAACTGTGGTAAAATGCTTGTTTAAAACGTTTTTTTTACAGGTACATG